TTTGAAAAGATAAGCAAGATCAACAACCCTTAGTCCAACTAACCAAAAGAAAATGTACACACAATTAAAAAAAATCAGAAATGAACAGGGAAACATTACAACAGTGACCAAAGTAATTTAGAACAGTATAAGAGAATACTTTAAACACTTATACTCCATTAAGTTAGAAAATACTTTAAAAATGGATAATTCTTAGATTCAGTGAACTACTAAAATTAAACCAAGAACTGAAACAGATTGAAAAGAGATGAACAACACAAAGAGATCCTGAACAAGAAACAGCATTGAAATAATAATATAAAGTCTTCTGTCTAAAAAAGGGAAGATCCAGAATTTTATCAGGCCTTCAAATAACTACAATCAATACAGCTTGTATTATTCAGAAAGATAGAAACAGAGGAAGAACCCACAATTCCTTCCAGGAAGCCATTAAGTATTCTAATATCAAAACTAGGTAAAGATACAACAAAAAGGAAACTGTACGCCAGTATCCCTAATAAACATAGATCCAAAAATTCTCAATAAAATACTTGCAAATTGCATGAAGACATACAGCAAAAAGACCACCCACCGAATCAAGTTGGCTTTATTCCAGGGATGCAAGGAAGGTTCAACATATGTAACTCAATGAATGTAATAAATACTATGAATGCACATAAAGGCAAAAATCACATGTTCATTTCAACTGATGCAAAAAAAACTTTGACAAAATCCAATCTTTCTTCATGATAAATGTTCCAGAGGAAATAGGACTGGGGGAAACATACATCAAGATAATTAAGACTATATAGAACAACTCCACAGCCAACATCATTTTGAATATAGAAAATCTCGATGTATTCCTATTAAATTCAGGAGGGAGACAAGGTTGTGCACTATCACCACTCCTTTTCAATATAACTTACCTAGAGCACAAAGCAAGAGAAGGAAATTAAAGGAGCACTAATTGGAAAAAAAATCAAGTTATTCCTGTTTGCCATTAGTATGATATTGTGTATAAGACATCCCTAAAATCTGACCAGAAATTGTCTAGCAATGATAAACACTTTCAGCATTGTAGCAGGGTTCAAAATCAACCTACAAAAATCAACAGCATTTTAACATGCCAAGAACAAGCATTCAGAGAAAAAGAACATCGAAATATTCCCATTCATAATAGCTTCAAAAATATCTAGGAATAAACATAACCGTGGATGTGAAAGATCTCTAAAATGAAAGTTTAAATTTTTGAAGAAAGCAATTGAGAAGACACTACAAAGTGCAAACAATTCCCTAGCTCATGGATTGGTAGAATTAATTTTGAGAAAGTGATCATACTACCAAAAATAATTTACAGATCCAATGCAATACAAATTACCACTCCCATGACATTTATCACAGAAGTAGACAGAAGAATTCTAAAATCCATATGGAACGGCAAGTCCCCAGGTCCACGTTGATTCTCACCGAAAAAAAGCAATGCTGATCGGCTTGCCTTACCAGACTTCAAACTCTAGTACAGAACTATAGTATTACAAACACCATGTACTGGCAAAAAAAAATGGACACAGAGATCAATGGAACAAAATAAAAGACCCAAACATGAATGCACACTATTACAGCCACAGGATGTTTAATCACAATGTCAAATATGCACACTGGAGATAAGACAGCATCTTCAACAAATAGAGTGTTGAGGAGAACAGGATATCCATAAGTAGAGAATGAAATTAGATCTGTATCTATTACCCCGCACAAAAATTCAAATTCAAATGTATCAAAGACCTCAATGATTAAGCTGAAATCTTGAAACTGTTAGAATAAACAAAGGTAGTAATCTACCTGATATAGGTGCTAGAATGGACTTTCTAAATTGGACTCCATCCAGTCAGGGAATAAAGACAATTGACAAATGGAAATTCATTAAAATAAAAAGTTTCAGACAACAAAGGAAATAATTAAGAGAAAGCCTACAGAGTAGGAGCGCACTCTTGCAAGCTATGCATCTGAAAGAGAATTGATTTCTAAAATATAGAAAGAACTAAAAAAAAAAAAAATCAGGCAGTGCTTGTGGATTGAGTTGCAGGCAGACATGTGACTCTCTGTAATTCTCTCCTTTTGTTCATACCCCTTTTCTAAGCATGCACTCCCTTATGCTTTGGGATTCCCCAAACTTCTGATTTTCACTCCCTTTTTCTCTACAACTCCTTTCTCCTCCATCCTAGGTCATTGCTAGTCTGCCACCTGTCTGACATCCATGGAGGCTCTAAACTAGCATGGCTTCATTTTTTTTTTCTTCCTTCTCCTCTCCATTCTCCCCCTCAAGAAAGCTTCAGAGAAAAAAGTTTGCCTGCCCTGGGAATTTTTTTCCCTTAAATTTTAATAAAATTGTCTTAAAGCTTAAAAAAATAAAGAAAACAATCAAGTTGCAAAATGGACTACTGTGAACAAAGTGTCTGCAAAAGAAGACCCATGCACACTCATACCAGAAAAAAATCAGCATAGAACTGGAGAAATGTTTGATAAGCCCCAAACTTAGCTGAGAAACTATTGACAACAACTGACCATTTCTGGGTGAGGGATAGTTTGTGTTTAAGGGAGTGATAGACTGGCCAGGCTTCAGTGGATGAATGAGGCACATTAGGGCACATTAACTTGGCTTAATAGTCCTTAACATATATAAAAGAATGTACAACTTCTGGAAGGCTATGGGGGTTACATATAAGGGATGGTTTCTATATATGCTTAAGATATATTAAATACAAAAGTTCAACAAAAGTATATTTAAGAAGAGGAACAATAAAAAGAATTAAAAATGGCTACGGAATACTTTAAAAGGCATTTGACATCCTTGGTAATTAAGGTATATAAATTAAAACTAATTTACGATTTCATCTTATGCCAGCCATATTGACAAATATTAAGAAAACATCTGACAACAAATGCTTATGATGATGTGGGGAAAAAGAAACTCTCATTCACTGCTGGTTGGAGGGCAAACTGGTGCAGGAACTACAGGAATCAGTGTAGATAATTGTTTAACTTCTAAAAAATAATTTATTACATGATCCAGATACACCACTCTTTGGCATATACCCAAGAGACTAGATTTCCTGCTACAGAAATATTTGCTCAGCCATGTTAATTACAGCTCTATTCACAATAGCTAGGAGATAGAAACATCCTAAATGGCCCTCAACCAATAAATGCATAATGAAACTGTGGTACTATATTCTACAGTAGTTCTCATCACTCATCAAAGAAGCCCTTTCTTGCAACACATGGAGACTATTACAAGTCCCACAATGGGTCAGTCACAGAGAAGTAACTGTGAGGTTCCTAGTCTTACTGACACATCTACAATGTAGTCACTCTTTATACCTAAGGCTCAGGGAACATTGGGAAAGAGGGGACAGTAAAATTGCAAGGGCCAGAGGGACAAGACAGCTGCTGTTAGTTAATGCATTCTGGACATGATAAAGAAGCTGCAGCCCTGAAATCTCCACAGTACGGTATCCTAATAATACCTGCACAACGAAAAAAATAACAGTTGACATTCCAAGGTAAATGAGGGGAATTTCATGAGGTTCCATCTCAACATGAAGAGCTACAGGTAATCAATGGATGCTGAGGGAGGGAGAATCAGTTTCTCTAAGAACCAGCTCACTGAGAGGTTAATCTCAACTGGGCAGCCCTAAACACAGGGGCACATGAGCACCACTAAATGGGCTCTGTGCATTAAATACATATATATGTATATTTATAAATTAAATACATATATATGTATATTTATAAATATAAATATATGTATATTTATATGCAACAATACTAATCTAAGAAGAGGACAAGAAATTGTAAGGGAAGAGGAACATGGAAGGAGTTGGAAAGGGACGGGGCAGGCGGGGTGAAAATAATGCAAATATAATACACATGTATAAAATCCCCCCAAAAGAAAACATTAAAATTCTAAAATTATGTAAATCCACCAGTTATTAAGACAATTGAAAAACAATGAAAAAGAGAAGAAAATAAGAGTGAAAGTTGAAATTTCTTTAATCAATATACAGCTTCTAGTTTGCCTATAATAATAAAATATTACTTCAAATTTATGCTTGTAATAAGGCCACATTTCAAATCATTGTGTAATATTACATATAGTCCCTTTCCAGAGAATGTCTTCACTTAGGTTAACAGGGTTGAGAGTCCTTTCACAGACAAACCACAAAATTACTATGAGTGATCTGCTTTCTACAATTCTGACATTAACTTACATTATAACAACCTCAGAAGGATAAATCTGTGGCAATTATCTTCCAATTCAAATAAAATGTTACTTAGATGAATCATAGTCCTTTTGTCTTAACTTTTTCCTGAAAAGACAGTATTTCACTACATAGCTCAATCTGGCCAGGAATTTAAGATCCTCCTATCTGAGTCTCTGAATTGTGGGGATTATAGATGCATACAACTATGCTTGGTTAACTATTATGTTCTATCACTTTTCAAACTCTTCTCTTGCTATGGTAATTCATTTGCAATGAAATAATTTGTTTTAAAGATCACTGGGGAATTTTATATAAATTAATTCTTTATTAGAGATGTATAAAGAACAGTTCAGACATATCAAACCTTGAATCTATTTTCACATATTAATTCTGTGCACATAGTTTTCACAATATCCAGTCCAATAATACTCAAAACATCTTCATAGAGCTCCTATGCTAATATAAGAATCAGAAAACATCTATCAAATTTTATATATAAATATTGTAACTAAGTATCTCCATTCCTTGGAATGTGTTCTACAGATAAATTTGAATAACTGGCCAAGATCATATAATATTAATCATAAGATACATCCCTCAAAGCTCTAATTCTTTATAAAACTAATGAGTGAAATGACAAGGCAATTGTATCTGTGGGTCATTTGTTAGAAAATAGAACTATAAACAATGGTTACATTTATTCTTATCCTCCTGGCAATGTACTTAATAATAACATTTTATTAATGGATTTGATACCTGTGAGTTCTCCACGTTTCCAAGGGCACACATGAAGGATATATTGAACTGATTTACCAGGGTCTATGGTTATATGTGAATTTCCCCACACTATTGAGAGATCTGAAGTTACCTAGAAAAGTGAATCAGAATATCAGAATGATGTACTGCTAATATGATTTTTTCCTGTTTCCTCATGTTATACTGCCTCATAGAACAATACTGTAACCTAATTTATGGACATAGATTAAAAGTATTCATTTTTAACTGAAAAGCAGGTCAGGAAATTCCTTATACTGCAGAAGAAAAATTCTGAGAAGGAACATGGAGAAATAGAACACAGAATAATTCTTACAGAAAACAGCTATTTTCTGTTGCTACTTGTATCAAGATTGTTGATGCTCATAAAATACCAGTAGTTTTTATAAACAGAAAATTGTAGTAGAATGTGACATCCAAGAACAGAACCATTTAAATGAATTTCTGTGCCCGTATTAACACAGCATGTGAAGAATATTTAAGCAAATTTGGCACAACCCCAGGTAAATCACAGTTTTAATGTGCTGAGTATTACCTAATACCACTTCCCTCAATTCTGTCCAATACTATTGTGTTTATGTCTCTTCATATCTGGCTATGATGGTCAACACTAAGAAATTCAATTACATGCTGTATGACATTTTGTCACTTTATTTTTATTGATTTTTTGTGTATTTAATACCAAAGAATTTTATTTTTTCAGTTGTTATAACAATCTCTTTTTCAAAATATTTTTCAAATTAAGAAACAAAAATTTAGGAAATGGAAACAGCCTAGATGTTCATCAACAGATGATTGGATAATGAAAGTATGGTTGTGCGATTTAGAATGGAATATTGCTCAGCTGTTAGTAAAACAAATTATGAAGTTTGCAGATAATTTATTTATAAGTGTTGAAGCGCCCCTCTAGAATTCAGGTAGCTGAAATTTCTGCCTTCTTATGTTATAGCTCAGGCAGTACTTCAGTGTAAGCCTTAGATGAATAAAGCAGTCCTCTTCTGTCCATCCTCAACATGTCAACAACACTGCCATAAATGTGATTGCTTGATTCCAAAGGATAGGTCAAAATTATTAAAATTCCATAAGGATATTTCATATTCCAGAATATCCTCTCATGTTTATGACCAAACACTTGCTGATTGCCACATACATTGCAGTTTCCAGCAATTCCAAAGAGAAACAATTTCTGTTGAGTGTTTTGGACAAATGTTCTCAAGACAGGGTTTATCAGAGCAAACTCTGAGACAAGTTAAATCACGAGAAAACATTGCTAATAGTTATTTTTCGGATAATTTAAGAAAGGTTAAATGGTGATCCAAACCAAATCTATCTATTTGGTAGATTTCTTCAAAGGCCTCTGATATTTGCATGACTACAGAGGCAAAATTGAAGAGCTATGCAGAGGAAGAGAGGAACAGGCCAGTATACATAACACAAATCACCTTACTTCTATTATGGTTTAGAGTTTTCCACAAATATGTACTCCTTAACTTTCAGATTCATGAAAAAAATTTTGATATTTTTGCTAATGTTATCATAGATTTTAAATAGGAATAGATAAACAAGATTGTTTAAACAGGATAATATATAAATGACTATAAGGGAAATTGTACTTCATTGCGGAAAAAATTAAGAATATGTATAGGCTAGAAGAAACAATCCAGTAAATATGAAGAATAGGATGGTGGAGGGAGAGAGTGGGAGAAAAAGGGAGTGACAGAGAAGGGGAGAGGAGGAGGAGGGAGACAGAGATGGAGAGGGAGAGGGAGGATCACCTACTGGGTCCATCAAAGTAAGTTTCATTTTACACATCCAAAAAAGAATTACAATGGAGAAAAGAAGTCTTTCACTGTCCATAAATAAAGTGTATGATGAAACCTGACCAAACAGATGTATAATTCCCACAATGTTAGGATAATTTTCAATTTCAGGCAGGTAAGAATAAGGTGGATAATTTTTATTTTATTCATTTTTCCACAAATCATATAACTATACAAATATAATGGACTAATCAATGCTTATACCTACTTTGAAGTGATAGTTATATGTTAGTTCCTGATTATGGTGGTTTGGCAGTTGTTACCAACAACCAAAACTTAAGATCTTCTACACTAAGTCCAGCTGGCTAGTTATAAATATATATATTTCTAAACAAAAAAGGATTCAAAATCAATAATTAATCAGAAAAATGCACATAAAATAGGCACAGTTAATATGGAAAACCACACAGGTTTTCTCAACAAATTGAAAACAGAACTACAATACAATTCAATAATCATATTTCTGGATGTGATTATGATAGCGTTTCAGTCTATTTCTGTTAAAATGTTAGAAATGCAGCTTTCAATTATGATTACTGTGAAAAGAATTTACATTTAATTGCACAAGCATGGTTAATACAGCAAAACTATTAATTTTAATTGCCTCCAATTTTAAAGATCCATTCCTTCTGTAGGGTAAAATTAAAATAACAAAACAGATATCATTTCTATCTCAGCCACAAAAGGAAGTAAATAATATATTTAGGGTAATGGCAAGTTTTGTTTAATATTTTTCTCATAGAACTCTCGATACATTCCCTTATTTGCTAGTAAATTCTGGACGTGGAAAAGGGAATGCTACAAAGACAACATCCCTTCCTTCCTTCTTTCCTCTCTTCCTTCTCCCCTATTTATTATTTTTATTTGTTCATGAAATGAAACATTATTTTACTTTTATTTTATTTTGCTTATTTTATGTTTATGAGTGTATTGCCTAGATGTACGTACGTGCCCCCATGTGGTACAATGCCAACGAAGGCTAGACAAGTGATGTCGGATTCCCCGGAACCTGAGTTACAGAGGTTGTTAGCTTCCACGTGGGTCTTGCAAACCAAACCCAGGTCCTCTGGAAGAGCAACCAGTGCTCTTAAACATGGAGCCATCTCTCTAGTCCCCAAGCAACAATTTAAACACTATTTTTTTCAAGATTTCAACACTATGCTTGATGCTATGTATAAAAAAGTGAACACAAATCGTTGCTCTGAGCTGGGGTAGTGCACCTACCTAGCATGCACAACACCCTGCAGGACAGAGAATGAGAGTGAGAATCAAAGAGGTAAGGGAGGAGAGGGAGGCAGAGATGTGGCAGGTGGCTCCTATCTGGTGAAAAATGATAAACAGATCAGCAATCTGTTATAATTCACATACAAAATTTTGGTGGAAGCAGAACATAGGTTTCTGATCCAAATTTATATAGATATAGAAGGAGTCATAGAAAGAAAAAAAAAAACCACCTCAAGCCTTAAAACTACAGACTACGATGTTAGCCATACATTGGTAGAAGATGAAAACTTTGGCAGAGACTACTAGATGACAGAACAAGGAAAATCTATCTGTAATGACCCCAAGCGTTGCAGGAGCTAGAGGTAGCCTGAGGCGATGCTGAGCAGATAAGCAATGACAAGTCGTTGTGGCATAGTGAATGCCACTTCAAGACTGTAGACTTGCCCCTAAAGTTAGGAGATGATGCCAAAGGGCTTTAGTTAGGAATGACAAGAGGAAATGGGAACTTACATTATTCTCCATATTCTTTGAAATATAGCAAGGACTAAACGAAGGCATACTTTTAGATTAAAAAAAATAGCGGAGGATACACTCAGCAAGTTTCTATATTTCTATACTCTCCTCTGAAACTGAGTATATGCACCTATGATAGATAAAGACAATGAAGCTTCATTTGGAGATCACACTGAATGCATTACAATTTGTAGACAAAATAACTGTGGGAGGTAGATTTTTATGTTTATTTTCATTTTTGGTGCTCAAGATCAATTTCAGGGCTTTATGCAACCTAAGCATGGACTCTTACCAATGAGCACTCCCCTCCCCAACAGCACAGTGGCATATGCCTGCAATTCCAGCATTTGTGAGACTGTGGTAGTGGAAGCTACCGTTTGAGGCTAGCCTGGGCTACAAAGAGCTATCTTCTTTCAAAAAAATAAATATTAATTTTGCTCCTAAATTCTTAAAAATATACATTTTATTATCATGTATCATGTACAATTTCTTCAAAAAAATAAACATGACACAAATAAGCAAATTTTAATATCTTTCATAATTACATACTAATACCTAAAGACAAAGTTTGTTTGGAGCTGGGAGCTTGGGGATTGTAGCCAAGGGATGCAATCCAGGTTCCTGAGATACTGGGAAAGCAGAAATACAGTTTGAGGCTAATGCGAGTCTCAATCTCAATCCAGGCCAAAAAAATAACAACAACAAAAACTCAGAATAATCAAAATAAAGCAAACTCAAATAAAAAATGTATATGGCATTGTTTCACATCATTAAAAAAACTGTTTAAAATTTTCATAGGATTACCATACTTCACATAATTCATTGTACAGAGTTGAAAGACACATTTTATTACTAAAAATATCTTACCTCAAATGTCAGGTGACTTTTTGTATAATTAGGAACTATTATGGATTTATCTGTCACATTTCCCACTTCACAGTTCACAACAATGTGGTCCAAGGCCCGGGGTTTTGTCCCAATCCCAACTATCTCAATGACACGGGCCATACCATCGACTTCATTTTGTAAAGTAAGTTTACCCTAAAACAAACAGATAGTATTCAGCTTTATAGAAGTCATAGCACAATGCCAACAGTATCTGCCATCTTATTCATCTTGAGTCTAGTCAAGAAAATGAGCTTGCAAGGAGATGTTAGGCATTGAATTTTCTAGTTCACATGTAAATGCTTTCTTTAAAAAATATGCTATCGAAGAATATTTTTCTTCCTATCATTTGCTAAATTACAGATTATATAAGCATCCTCAACATAGCAATCATACATGTATTTACCTCTTTGTCAAAGAAATATCATGTTAAGGAAGTATTAGATGGACCAATGGACTTAATGAATAGGAATATTGATTTTTATATCATTGAGCATGCTGCCTGAAAAGTGATATAGATATAAATAGTCATAAATGATGGCACTGTTAAATGGTGAATATCTGCCTCTCAAAGCTAAATATTTGAAGAAAAAATGTAAAATTTATGGGAAAACACAAATTTTTAGACCAACATTTGTATAATTAGTTACATAGACTAAGAGAATACATTTTTATTTAAATATTAGTAACACAGGATATAATCCTTGAATTCATACCATAATCTCACATTCCAAAATAGGATTGAATGTGAGAGGGTACTCTACAGTTTTGCCAGGTCCGACATGTAAAATACGAGGTCCAGAAAACCACTCTCCTTCTATTTTAACTTGAAATTTCCAAGGTGTCTTTGTTTCATTTTTCTAAAACATGAAAAAATTGCAAGAAAGATGCTGTTAGTGAAACTGAATTACATAATAATTGTTTTTTTCTTAATGCATAAAGAATATAATTTAAACTGGGCATAGTGGTACAAGCCTGTAATTACAGCATCAATGTTGAAGCAGGAGGAAACTGGAGTTGCAGAAATGCCTAGGATAAATTCAAGGGCAGTCTGAAATACATAGTGACACACTGTCTCAAAAAAAAAAAAAAAAGAGCTGAAGGTTGGACAGATGGCCCAGAAGTTAAGAACACTGGCTCCTCTTGAAGAGGAAATGAGTTTGGTTTCCTGAACCCACATGGCCACTAACTCCAGTTCCAGGGGATCTGACGCCCCCTTCTGATTTCCGTGGACACTGCACAGCACAAGTGCACACACAGATGCAGGTATTATACACATACACATAAAATAAAAATAATAAGTAAAATATTTTTTTAAAAATAAGAGCTGGAATAAACTACAATGATAGCACAGTTGCCTTGTATACCCCCAACAACACAGGATTCAACAGGAAAAAGCAGGACAGGGGGTTGAGATGGGAGATGGAGGGGAGAGTGGAATCAACAACCAAAAGGAAATATGTATGAAAATCACATATGGAAACTTGTTTTAAAGAGATGCAAAAGTAATATAGTTGTTAAACTTAGCATTTTCTACAAAAACTTTAATTCTTGTGAATTATTCCAAATATTTTAAAATAAAAAAATTGAAAAAAAGTATTTGTTAAGAACAACTCTCAAAAAAATGTGAACAAAAATTGTGAGATTAACAAGATTTTATTTCAAAGTAATACAGAAACATCACCCGATGGATATATTCAATCACTATTTACTATCTAGAGAGCTTTGTTTATTTGATTTGCCAAAGGCCAATTTATGGCAATTTATAATAAATGACCAATTTAACAATGGCACAATGATCTTGAGGGATATGATTTATTAGTAATCAAGAAAACTAAAAGCTGTTCTAACTGGTATATTTCTCAGATAAGAAAGGTTACATATTTCATCAGGACATATTTTTGTGTGTTGGCCTGAACCTGTTACATCTTTAGTAATTAAAAAATTTAATTATTCTGAGTACACAAAGTATCTTACAATTACAATACCTACTTCTATGCTGAAGTATCACTTTGTCAAACAGGTAGCAATGGATATTTTGGAGTTTGTTTCTTTTTTTGGTGTGTTTCAACACAGCTTAGTGAATATAATAATATCACAACAAAATTTGGAGTAGTCATGTGATAATACATTTCTTGGCTTGGTAACTCTAGAACATCTAACTTTTATTATATTCTTTTACAATAAGTTTAGGTCATCAGTCATATTATATTCTCTTTTTAACTGAATTTTTGCAATTTCCATATAATATAATTTTATGTTATTTGGATCCTCCATCTCCATCTCCTCTTATAGCTCCTGCACAATTTAATGTATTCTATTATATATAATAAGGCCTGTAGAGTCTAATTTGTGTCTGCAAATGTCCTACAGTATAGGTCCATCCACTGGAGTCTGGTTAACATGCCAAGAGTTCCATGCTTGAAAGAAACTGTCTCTGCCCCTCCAAGCAGCCATGTGTTGACACAATTTTTTTAGATTGTGTTAGAGCTTCTTATTCCTTTTATAACGTCTATGCTGAGACATATCTAGTTTCAGCTTGTTGGCCAGAGGTCCCATCAATCCTCAAACATTACTGGCCTTTGCCCCTGCTTTTGGTTCCTCATCAGTACTGAATATTGTTACCCTGGTCCTGAAGACCCTACACACACAAGTTGTAGAATAAAGAAGGAAAAATCAAGCTGGTGCTGGCTTCAGAGCCTCATTTCCACTGGCTAGTGTTCGTAGTAATGGAAGGTGCTATGAAACCTACTAGAAGGAAAAAAAATCATTATTATTATTATCCTTGCCTAGCTGTGAATCCTGTGAACTAAAATAAAAAGTGGCCGGACAAAATATGCCCATTGGTGAAATTGTGGCACAAATAATATGGGAGTAATCAATAACTCTTTAATTGGATTTAGGGTGTGAGACACCCTAGGATGGAGCCCATACCTGGCATTGATAACAGAGTCACATTTTCAAGCAAAGAAACTTATCCAAAATGATTACTGAAATGCAGTTGAATTCACATTCCAGAAGAAAAACCTGACATCAATGAAGAGAAAGATGTTACTGAAGAAAGTATAATTAGAAATGTGCTGAATTCAAAATGAGAGGTTGGAAGGACATAATAGAAAGTGAGGAACACCAAAATATGATATCTGAAAATTTATTTCTCCAGAACCTTTCAAGAGAAAATTGATCATAAAATTTAATTTAAGGTGGTGACCATTTGCAAAATAAGTATTTAAATTATTAGAGAAATCTACATTGGCAAACTGTGGTTACATGAAGTGGCTTTTCTATCTGACATTCCTCTTTCTGTCTAAGAAAGATATTTTACTACAAGAAGAGAGGTTTTGATTGCTGGTCTAATTTAAAAAATGTAACAGGCAGCTGTTACCTGTGCAATATTATCTACATTGTAAAACAATTTTTGATTTTTCTAAATGTACTTTTTCAATTTTGCAAAATCAGCTACCAACTTGCTTTCCAAGAAGCACAAGGCCGAAAAATTTATCTCAGCTTCTGTATAAACTATAAGCATGCTGTCCTTTCTTCAGTTTGTGTATGGCTCCCATGTTTCTCTGTGGTAATATACATGTTACTGTTTTTATCCTTCTAATCGGTTCAATGCTAGTTTCTTTTATTTATGAATCAGTGAATCAGGAGTTCATTCTTTGAAAATATTAATAAACTTTTAGCCAAATTAGGCAAAAAAGATTATCCAAATTAGTGAAATCAGAGATGAAAAGGGAAACATTGAAACAGATATTGAGGAAATTCAGAGAATCTTAAGAATAGAGTTTAAAAACCTGTACTCTGCACCCATCATGGTGGCAAATCACCTTAAGCCTAGCACTACAGAGGCATAGGCATGCAGATATATGTCAGATAGAGGCCATCCTGGTCTCCATAGCAAGTTCTAGGCCAGCAGGAGCTACAGGGAGACCCTGTCTCAAAAAACTTTATATTACACTTAATTGGAAAATCAAAAAGAAATAGATCAATTTCTAGATATGTATGACCTGCCAAAATTAAATGAAGATGAGTAAAACAATGTAAGTGAATTCATAATAACCAATGAAGTAGAAGCAGTAATTAAGAATCTCCCAATTAGGGACTGGAGAGATGATTCAGAAGTTAGAGCACTGGCTGCTCTTGCAGAGAATCCGGGTTTGTTTCCCACAACCCACATGGGAGCTAACAAGTCCATTTCCTGGGATCTCTTGCCCTTTTCACTTCCACTGGCATTGCATGACACAGGTGCATGCACATGCATGCAGGGAATACATCCATATGCATAAAATATGAATACTAAATAAATAATTTAAAAAATTCTCCCAACTATAAAAAGCCCAGGAGCAGGTTGATGCAAAGCAAAATTTTGCCAGACCTTAAAAGAAGAATACCAATCTTCTTCAAATTATTCTGTAAGGCAGAAAAAGAAGGGGTATGTTTAAATTCTTAATATGATGCCAGGTTTACCCTGATACCCAAATAACATCATGATCCAACAAAAAAGAAAATTTTGAGCCAATCAATCTGATGAACATAGATGCCAGAATTCTCAATAAAATACTTGCAAAGCAAATTCAAGAGCACATTAAAAATGTTATCCACCATGATAATGTTGGCTTCATTCCAGAGATGTAGTGATGGTTCAATATACATAGATCAATAAATGTAATTCACCACGTAAACAAACTCAAAGACAGAAACCATGCCATCATCTCATTAGATCATGAAAGTCGTTTGAAAAATTCAACCTTCATCAATGACAAACCTTACAGAGAATCTAAGGATACAGGAGACATATCTCAATATAATAAAGGCAACATACAGCAAACCAACAGTTAACATCACACTAAACAGAGCAAAGCTCAGTCTTTCCACTAAAATCAGCAAGGCAAGGATACTCACTTTCTGTATTCCTGTTCAATATAGTGCACGAAAGCTTAGCTAGAGCAATAAGTGAAGGAGATAAAGGGGATACAAATGGGAAAGACTGGAAAGTAAAAAGTCAAACTATCTCTCCCTGTAGATGACATAATTCCATAAATTAAAGACCCTAAAGACTCCACGAGAACACTCCTAGATTGAATAAGCATATGCATCAATGTAGCAAGACAGACTTAACAGAATTATAATCACTAGGCTTTCTATATTCTACCAACCACCATACTTGTCTAGATTGTTAGGTGATCAGAACCATTGGGTAACCTCTTTGGAGATAAGTCTGCCCCATTTTTATGTTAGCTCAGAGAATCATGACTTGTAGGATAGAAAGAAAGAAAGAAAGAAAGAAAGAAAGAAAGAAAGAAAGAAAAAAAAAGAGAAAGAAGGAAGGGAAACCATCCCATTTGTTAATAGCTTCAGAAATCATAAGATGTCTTGGAATAAATCTAACCAAGTGAGCGAGAGCAGTGCATAATAAAATTTTTAAATAAATTGAAAGAAGAAAATGAAGAAAAGGCCCCAATCATATCTACTCTGCTTAGCTATTTAGACCTTCCCCCACACTGTTCATATCTTCACCTTGGACCTAGGCCCCCTCCTGCTTCCGTAGACTTGAGACATCTGGACTAGACTCCTAAGCCAGACTCTGTCCACTATGTCTTGATCCCCCTGCACCAGGACCAGCTACATTCTCCTGGTCAAGGTACCTACTCTGCATCTACTCTGCATATCCAAGTGATATAGACCCTTCTAACATTATCCTCCCAAACTCCTTGGACCCAGGCCCCCTCCTGCTCCTCCAGGCCGAGTGAGTTGGACTTGCCATCAAGAACGTGGCTGCTGGTTCCCCAAGTCTCTAATTGGATCTAAACCCCTAAGCCTTGCTAAACAGATCTTGATTAGCAAGCTTAGAACCATC